CTCACACAAAGTCATTTAGGTGAGCTCTAGTTCCAGTTGCTGACAGGGAGCAAAAACAACATAGAAGTGGTTCTCGACCCCAAAAAAGTTAATTTCAAAACCATCAAATATGGCGTTTTGGTGGGAAGAGTTTTCCCATAACGTGAAAGTAACTGAGAGGTTTCATTGGCAAACAAATGAGCCCATTCACCCCATTCGTGAGTCCGCTAGCCCCTAGAAAAGGGAAATGAGGCGTGCGATGTTATGAATGAAGCTTCATTAAATCCTTTTTATTTGATCACAGCCCACGGAGAAAAGGGGACACACGACTCGCCTGTTACTGATTTAAGCATCTAATCCTGCCTTCGAAACGCACCTTCATCGCTTTCGCTACCGTGGCAATTATTTTTAAAGTGTGGAGAGATTCAAAATAAATAGAGAATATAAAAATTACGATGACTGTTTGTAGTACAGACATCCAACGATAAAATGGAATGTTAGTTGTAACTATGACATAATACCTCAAGTTCGTTACGACTGTAGAGCTGATGTATCATCTAGGATTCCGTCACTTATGAAACAAAATAATAGACGCACTTCTTTCTGCTCAAAGCACTCGGGAATGCTCCCGTTGGCTGACGGAGTTCGAAGAAAACTCCAAGCCTCGGAGCTCTTGAGAGCGTAAAGAATGCCTGGTCTTCGGAGGTAGAGACAAAGCAGTAGACGTCGGGCAACGTTAGAGGAATCTTGGGAAATAATCGACAGATCGGGAGGCAAGGAGGCAGGAGGGTCGAGAAAGCCCGCCAAGTACTCAATGTAGTGAAGGCAGGGATGAAGCAAGCTTTGCAAGGCCACATCGAGGAGGGAGACACGACAGGCAAGAGCTTGATCTCGGAGGGACTAAAAATTGAAGGTTGAGCATACCAGAAGAAGTTCGATTTGACTCGCGCTGGGATTTTAAACAGTCGCGAATTCAAATGCAAATTAAAGAAAGCGCCAAATTAAAGCTATACTTAAGATTCGAGGAAAGAATGGAGCTTTTCACTTACTGATGGAACCTTTGAAGCCTCAATACAAACATGGGCGATGAGACGCATTCCCTCGGTGGGGCTTTCCAATCGATGAAGGAGGAAATAGAGACATGCAGGATCAGGTCTTTCGTGACATTCTGCAAAGGGCACCGAGGAAGCGAATGTGGGTAGATTGAGGACACTTGAGAAGAGGTCCAGTGAGAAGGTTGAACTGTAACAGAGATTTTTGGAATTTGAGTCATTCTCCCTTGGAAAGGGGATGATTTTGGCTACGTCAATCATCCAACCCGTTTCAACATTGGTTATTTGGAGGTAATACGAGAACCCGTAGCTGCCACCAAAGTTGGTAACTGTCTTGAAACGATAAGCTTGCACCTGTTTTAGGCTGATATGTTTTTGCTGTCTGCAAAAGAGCGATGAGGGTTTAAAAATAGCACAGCCGTGTTATTTTATAAATAAGGCAAAGCAAACACGTTGGTTCGAAAATGTCCCCCTTCATCTGTCAATTTGTGCAACCTTCAAATAGAAGTGAACAAAAAAAGCTACACTGATCAAACAAAAAGGTGAGGTAAGTAGCGGCCTTAATCGAACTAAGAAACCTCACCAAAGTATAAATGAATTCTTTTTCCTTCTAAAATGCATTTTTAATCTGTGGCAAAACTGCAAGCGCAGCA